CAAAAAAAAAAAAAAAAAAAAAAAAAAAAAAAAAAGCGTACATGTTATTGCACCAGTTCATATGCTACTACGCGCGTGCACTTGCTGTTAGCCTACTTGTGGAGAAGGACCGGGCCGTAATTTGTTAACACAGTGAGCATTGGGTGAACGCGCTACTCTGTTGAGGAACTATGCGAGGGGGACGCTGTGTAATTCCGCGGGTGACAGGCTGCTTACCCCATAGTGGACGCCTCCCTTTACACCCCAAAACCAGCAGTTTTGATTGAAAGGTGACCCACAATTTTAATCATCCATCATCCACCACGTCTCCTCCCTTTTTAACCACCCGCGGGCGGGAGGAAACAACAAAGGAGAGAGTACATATATAAAAGAAAATGGGGAAGCATGAGCAGGGCTGGCTTTTCCCCATGCGCCTTTCTTTTCCATACCCCCTTTTTTTGGAATAGGGGGGAAAATGCACCTCAGAGCGTCTCTTTGGCTTGAAACATCTGCACACCCCATGTGTAGTGGTGATAAAAGGACATGTTTAATTATCCTATTGACTTTTAAGTAAACTTCAATGAGTATCAGCTGGGCGTGGGGTGGAAGAGGACGCCACATATTTGCGAACCCAAACGGAACAACAAGGGAAACCCCATTCAAGCTGCTTACACGTGTGTGCGTCCAGCATCAGTAGGATCCCATTTATTGATAATTTTTTTTTTTTGTTTACAAATTTGCACACCTGGAGGGGTAGCCAAAAACAGGGAGTGCCAGCAGAGGGGGGGGGAAGTGATGACCCCAAATCAGGCACACAGCAACTTTGCACGGGATGACATGTTCATTTTTCATACAACAGGTTTACAGTTCGTAACAGTTCATGCGTGGAGGAATAAAACAGGGAGATTCAATTGGTTCGGCCCCGTGTGCAGACAGCCGTGTTAGCGGGATTGGTGCAGGGGTGTATGTACATTGGGGGTGAAAATGCGCATAGCTACAAACGTGGCTGGTACGACTGCGTAATATGGTTACATGTGCAAGTCTAGGTCTACGGGGGCGCCCCAAATTGTTCGCCACCACTGCGTCAGGCAACACCGCTTCTTTAAGCACCGCCCTTGGCCCTCCTCTTAACAACAGCGCAACTTTTTTTTCTTAATTTTTGGAGGCACCGAGTTGTGCGACACGTGGGGGTAAATCAGCAAGTAGCCCTCAGAAGGATTCAAGCCGTTATTATATTTGTACCCGAGCTTTTCAGGATTGAAATGATACATGGTGGTGCTTTCTTTCTCCATTCCAGGAATAGGTAAATCTGTAGAAGACAAAGAAGGGAAGGTAAGCTTTTTATTAATGCCTTCACATAAGCTCATGTTTTTCTGATTCCATGGGTGTATTAAAAAGTGGTCATATCTTTTTTTGTCAAATTCGATGGGATCCATGGAGTCCAGGGGGTTATTATTGATCTGGTCATTTTTGCCCTCACCATTACTGGGGTGGTTATTTGTTTCGTTGTTGCTTTCATTGAACTCTTCTTTGTTTTGGGCAGGTGCATTCACAGTGTGAGAGTAATCATCCTCCTTCTTGTGTGTGTCTTCGCTGGAACCGCTTTCTTGTGGGTCTTGAAAGAGGTGGTTTGGTTCATCCGGGTCCTCCCCGGGTTGGTCATCTTCATGCGGGTGGCTGTCTCCTTCGTAGTCACTGTGGTCGTGATCTCCACTTTGGTGGACAACGCCGCTTACGACAGGGTCGTTCATCACACCCGTATGTGACGCAGCCTGTTCGACATCCCCTTCGTTGGTGCTTTTGACGTCGTCTAAGTCGTCCCCTTGGGCATTGTCTAAGGCTCCCTCTTCAGCGTCCTGTAAGCTGTCCTCATCACCGTTGTGTAAGCTGTCCTCTTCAGCGTTGTGTAAATCTTTCTCCGCTGTATCTTGTAATCCATCCTCTTCGACATCGTGCAGTAATTCCCTTTCTGCGTCACTTGTGGCTTCCTTTTGCTCGTCCTTTAAGGCATTGTCCACGTCACTTATCTCCTCCTTCTCCACATCACTTATCTCATCCTTCTCCACGTCACTTATCGCCTCCCTCTCCACTTCACTCATCGGCTCCTTCTCCACATCATTTTCCTTCTCATTCAAGTCGCTTTCCGTGGAATACTCTTCATTCTCGTCCGCTTACAAATGAATGAGACAAAAAAAAAAACAAACAGATAGAGTGAGTCAATGGAAAAGGAGAAAATAAAAAAAACAATAAAATACAGGGGTCCAAATCATTCCTCAAAACGAACAATCATGTGTGTAGCAAAGCACAATTTTTCACTTATGTATGACCATACATCAATTTTGCCTGAACGAGCTAGCTTTTTTTTTTTTTTTTTTTTGCTAAAGAGGGGAG